CGTGTTTGAATGTTTGAATGTGTATTTATCGGAGAAGGATATATTCGATATAATACGCCATCTATCACCCGATGTTTTTGAGCTAGCGCGGTAATTTTCTTATGAAGACCAGGATTAGGAGATAGACTTTGATTTTGAAGGAAGTTAAGAATAGGTATGAGATCTTTGTCTTCCCATTGAGCGTTCTTAATTTCTTGTAGTAAACTAAGACTACTCGATAGATTGATATTAAAAAGCGAAATCGGAATAATTTCTTCAGCCGGTTGGCCCCCAATTTCTTGTTTGGTCTCATCTAGTGGATACCGGGAAAGAGCATCTGCGTTAGCGTTCTGCACTCCTGGTCTATGACCGATATCCAGGTCATAAGCGGCTAATCTCATTGCCCAGCGTGCTAATCTGCTAGAAAGATCCTTGGTGTTTTGAAGCCATTTTAGTGCCTTATGATCAGTTAATACCTTCACTTTAACTCCTTCAATATAAGCTCTAAAGTGTGTACAGGCCCAGACGACAGCTAAACATTCTCGTTCCGGAATGCTGTATCTCCGTTCTACGTCGCTTAGCGTACGACTAGCGTAACCTATAACATGTTCTCGTTCGATTCCATCTTCTCCTTTTATTTGTTGGGCTAGCACTGCCCCTAGACCATAATCAGAAGCGTCGGATTGTAAAATAAACGGTAGATCGAACCTAGGATAGGATACAATTGGTGCTGAGATGAGTAAATTCTTTAACTCATCGAAAGATTTTTGGCATGCTACAGTCCAAACGAAAGGTTTAAGGCCATTTCCACGAGTCAGTTCTTGAAGAGGTTCAGCGATAGTAGAATAATTTTTCATGAACCTTCTATAATACCCAGTAAGCCCCAGGAATGATCGAACACTCTTCGGTTTTGTTGGAATTGGGAATTTTCGAACAGCGTCGAGCTTTCCCGGATCCGGACGGATCCCGTCCTTAGAAACGACATGTCCTAAATATTTGAGTTCCGTTTGGAAAAAATGACATTTCGAAACCTTTAGAGTTAAACCGCTAGCCGACAACTTCGTTAAGACGGCTTCAAGATGTTCCATATGAGATTGAAAACTAGAAGAATATATAACTATATCATCGAGATATACTAGGCAGCAGCTCCAATTTAGACCGGCCAAAACCATGTCCATTAACCTTTGAAAGGTAGCTGGAGCATTTGTAAGACCAAACGGCATCACTCGAAACTGATAAAGTCCCTCGTGAGTGACAAACGCCGTCTTAGGCTTACTCTGATCATCTAATTCGACCTGCCAGAATCCGGACTTAAGATCTAGTGATGTAAAATATTTCGCATTTT